GCCGAATCTACCGAAGGGAGGAGAACCTTCGATCAAAATCTGGTCTGAATTTCAAAGCAGAGGGCAGTGAAGGGTGAATAATGGCAGAATTTCAATAAAATCCGCAAAGCACCTCAAGCAAGAGCAAAGAGATTATTCTTGAAAACTCCCACAAAGGGAGACGTAAGCCCGCGAGAACCCCTCATTGGGAGCGAATTTCAACACGACGAGTTGTACTGATGAAGAACTGCATTTATTTAGAACCCGTTCCATCCATTCGATGAAAAAGTCTTTCTGAGTGAGACGATCTTTGAAGAGAAATCGTAAAAAAAACAAATAAGTGCCGCCCTTTTTGCGGATACTCCTACAACACAGTAATATATCATTGTAAATTGCGAGTTTTGTGTGTACGACGTGAATTTTGACAAATGACAACGAAGGCGGGGGGACATCGGGGGTGACTGGGTGATAGGGAAATGTGAGAGAGCACAAGAGAATACGAAATTGAAAACATGAAAACCTCCAGGATAACGGGGAAAAAACCCCGAAAGTGAACGTTTGATAGGCAGCTGGCCCCGATGAGCGATCAACACACATCAACCGCAATGTCTTCAGTAGCCGACGAAAAACCGATAAATCAATAAGTCAATACGATACATGAAGCCAATGAGCACTGCTTGAAGGTACAGTAACCGATTGATGAAATCGATCCCTATTAGGGATTGAAACGATCGATGAACGAGTCCCGGCTACTGTAGAGTAGGGCAGACTGCCGCCAGCCGACCGGCCGAGGTCGAATGGAACAACCAGATTCCGTCGCTGTCGTTCAACTCTGCGTCTCTGTTCCCTCAACTGTCTTTGTCACTCTGCGTCGCGCCCGATTCTCACATTCACAACAAGTCTCTCATCGCTACCGTATCCTGGCTCCTCCCACTTCGTTCGGTCTCTCTGATCATCGCCGATATCGGTCACACTCCTCGATCAGTACACTCCTTCCGAGACCGTTTTACAGTCTGCGTCTTCTTGTAATGATCGTTTTATGATGGGAGTTGGCGTGTGTCCAAGAATATTATATGAAAAACATTTTTATGAATCTCCACGAATCTCATACACATTGGACGACAATTATTATCACATCATAAATCAATTCCAGGAAGATCAAACAGGCAATCGATATGGGGCGGAGCTACAGAACACGTACTACGGTGAACAATTGTCGAACAAAAGCTTGACATTCACAAAATCATGAGAAAGCTCTTCAACTTGAAGGCAGCAACATGGAATGGCTATGAGTTATTAAAGTGCATACAGTAGAATCAATAAGTCCTTTATCGATTAATATATCGATCTTCTAAAGCTCAACGAGGTTGATCTACAAATCGGATTCGCTGATCTTCTTGTTGGAGAGGAGAAGCGGCTCGATGTATGGTGGTGGATGCTCGCCACGTTCCTTGATGAATTCCTCCCACAACGTCTTCAGCAACGCCAACGTCACCATTTCGCCGGAATTCTCAGCTGAAATTACGAGGGTTAACTGTGGGAAAGAAGTGTAAAGACTAGAGAAAAATAGAGAAAGGAAAGAGTGAAAAGTAAGGAGAAGGAAGAACCGGTTACTCACCGACAAGTCGAATTAGGAATACCCCGTCTACACGCAACTTCTCGACGACAAATTGTTGGAGAAGCGAGCGTTTGTGCAGACTGCGAGCCACATTTGGATCAATCTGGAAAATGTAGAGGAAAATTGCTGAAATTATTTTAACAAGACTTCTGGGCTGTCCCCTCTCCAGAAACTAGCCGAATACTAGTAGAAAAAAGCTCAAGATGCCAGTGGACTGGAAATCATGAATGGTGAGAGCAGTCAGGCGTCGCGGCAAAAGAAGAACTACTGCAGACATCCAGACGTCGCTCGTTGGTGAGTTACATGCCGAGAACACTTTGGGATTGAGGAACGCTTAACACTATTGGGGGGGGGGGTCGTACTGTGTCTTATGGCGAGGGGCTCCATTTTAGAGAATTTTTATGGCCATGCCAGCACTGGTGCAGCTGCCAGTGACTGCAGTGGGACGAAGTTCCCAAAATGGCTGAACTAGGATAAAAGGAGGCCAAGAACCTGGTTCTATGGTGGGTTGTTATGGTCAGTCGGACGTTATTAACGGCATCCATCCTCCTAACTGGTTTCAAATTGGCTCTTGAGCTGACATTATAAGATTTGGCAGTGGCTGTATTTCCAGGCTAGCCCAGGCACCTAGGGAGAGGCCCAGCACAATAGAACCTTTCGATGGAATGGGATGCCGAGTTATGGACAAAAGACTCGATCCTAGTCAGAACTCGAGCCTGGACCCCACGATTTCCAGTACAATCCTGGAGCCCCTTCATCATTTGCCGAATACCGTCGTGAACAAATAAGGCCACACGTGTTTGATCTCTGCACTTTTGAACTTCGACACTTCGGAAAGAGGAACAGAGGCCCAGAGGTTTTCCAAGCGATAGAAAAAACCCGTAAAACATGAAAAATGAATAATTGATTGATTGAGCATGAAGAGGAGTAACAGACCTGTTGAATGTAGTTGTTCACTAGGGCTTTGCCAGTGACTGAAGTCATTGCGGTGGCAATTGCCCATTTGGCGAAGCTGTACACACTGGAAAGGATTTCATGTGAATAACCTGCTTAGAATTCTTGGAAGCATCCCAGTGAACATTTTAGTTCTGTTGATCAGAAAAAATCCAGTCTCAGAATTCAGCGTTCTATAGCTTCTTATGGGGATAACCTAACGCCGTAAGAGGTCATAGAGCGGAATCTGCAACGTCGGAGAACATTCACATGGGTCTAAGGATCACACCAAGCACATCTCTTCCATAGCAAGTAGCTGAGTACTGCCGTGATCTACGTGGACGGCATTTAAAACCCATGAAACCCTCAGAGCTAGGGACATTTCAATGGACTGATGGAGACTGTGCTACTCAATTAGTCGTTGACCTTTAGGTTCCGCTTCTGTCCTGCTCCAGTCGCTCTTCAAGACGAAGAAAATCACTTCACAGTGTCGGGTATTTTGCACGTAATTGATAATTACAGTAGGTTGCGAGTCTACTGAGGTGGGAGCTGGTGCGACACTTTGCGAAGTTCAAACAACGTACCATGCAATTAAAAAAGGTAAATAAAGGTATTTAGTGATGCAGCTTTCATTTTCACACCAATTTTCTGGCGTTTTGTTGGGTTGCATCTGGAAAGTACGAAGAAACGACTGTGGGCTAGTGAGGAATGGGAATTCCTGCCTGAGGAGGCAGGGGGAGTTAGGAGAGGTGAGGGACAAACTACGGAGCAGACGAAATAACCCCTCGCTGAAAAGCAATACCCTCTGTGGGAATGAGTGAGTACTATTTTCTCTCCTGCCTGCCTTAGATCAAATGTATTGAGCGCCCTGTTGGCCCGATATATTGTAAAATACAGAGCGCAAAATAAAATTGGCCCACATTTCGTGGCTTAACAGGACTCAGCAGGATTTTACAAAATCGCTCGGCGCATATGGGGATTGTCACAGTGCGCCCCCCCCCCTTCCTCACCCTTCTATACATAACGGTCTAGATCCCTTCTCGAGATTGATGGCGATGAGAAGTACTTTCACTACTCTGGGGGGAGGGGGTTAAAGAGCAAAGCTTTCGTTGTGCAATCAATTGATAATTCCAAAAGCAATCTACTTCTGTTTCTGCTTACCTGACGATCAACATGATGCATAACCAGTACCACAAGGCGACGAAGATCTTCTCATTGAACATGTTGATCATCAGAACGCACTGTACTGTATGTCGATGTAGATTTCCAAGTACTCTGACGTCATAGTCACACATTGTGATCCTGAAATTCAGGTTAATTTATAGGGATATGTATAGGTTACCTAGCCGGGACTGCCAGAAAATGCTAGGGTGGAACAGCAAAGGAGGAGCGGGTAAATGAAAGCTATTAAACGCCAAAAGCCAGAAAAGTTTGTGAGCGTGTTCATGCCAGGTTTCTTAAAGAGTCGCCTCTGGCCTCACAAAAGTCGGAACTCGGAAATCGGATAAGGGAGGAACAAAAGCCTAAAGAGGGGCGAACTTTCTTTGACCCGTTCGCAGTAATATCCACCTCCGGTGGCGGACAAAAAGCTGTGGCAATGCCCACCATTCTTGTCCATTTTTCACACAGGGCAATCTGACCGCATCGCCACCACCAGTGGTGGACGTTCGGCTTGCCATGAACGGCTAAGGGACAAATTTTGGGTCTGTCCACTTAGCCCCATATTTTGGCGTGGTCTTAAAGTCTCTGGAGGGTAAAGGGGTTGGATGGCCTGAGTGGAAAACGATTCGGAATGTGACCCACAGAGTGCGTCCCTGGTGAGCGGACTGCTCGCCAGTACACCACCTTCACCATTTGATAAGTCTAGCCTCAGTTAATTAATTGACTTTACGGAAAGCGATCGACCCACCTTGGGAAGTTGCCAGTTTCGGGCCATTCTCGTCCGTTCCACAAGTCCAGCGACACATCCAAACCCCATGTGTACGACTGAACACCCAGCACGTTCTTGAGGAAGATGAACTGGAAGACGGCGTTCAGCGCGTAGAGGAATTTTACGGCCTGAAATTCGGATTTTTTTAGTGACTTCTGGGATAGCCACTCAACTTCATCATCTAAGACTAACCACATAAACGATAGTAATGTAGCTACCGCTTGTGAGTCGTCGTGCTTTTCCTGCTTTCACTAGAGCGACAGAATGCTCCTGAAAAACTGCTCAGATGACGTCATTCTGGGACGATGACGTCATTGTTTACCTGAACAAGGAATGCGGCGATCGTTTTCATGTTCTTTTGACGTGTGCCCTCGTCCATGTTAGCATGCATGCTGCATGTGTCACAGATGGCTTTCACCTTGAAACCTGAAACTAATCGATACTAATCGATACTTACGGAAACTGTAGAGATCCACAAACCTGAGCTTTCATAGACAGAACGCCATATGACGACGGGAAGATAGAAGAGAATCGCCTGCGCAGCGAGTATGAACGGTACCCACTGGTAGTAACCTGCAAAACGAGTGAATCCTCCCATTCCTGTCAATCATCCGATCATCCTTTCATACTTACCAATTTGTTTTGCTTCACGTTCCGTATGATTAGAAGGGATTTCGATCACATGTTGTGCAAAATCGAACGCATTATGGACTTTGACGTCAGTCATCGGTATAAAGTACGTATTTTGTACGTAACAGTAATCTAACGCATATTCCATCCACCATCCTGTAATCGATAATCGATCGATATCTTTTGCGATGTTGAAGAAGCATCGCCTTTTTTCCTATGCGAATGATTGTCTCCCAATGAACGCATCGGTTGATGCAAAACATACAAAAACCAGAGGAGGACACAAATCACGAGGATCAGCTGGGGAAACTGCAGAAAAAATCAATAATTGATCGATCAGTTGATAAAAAAGAAGGGCAGTGTGAATAAATTGAAAAAAGTCTAACGAACCTTTGTAATAGGCAGGGAACCAGCACTGAATAGGTGAGCCGACAAAGCTGAAAACCATCATTCTCTGTGATAATGATCACTAGCCACTAATCGATATCAATCAATACCTCCATCCAGAGATGAACGCTGATGCCAGCACAAGACCGACAGTGGTGACACAATAGTTCAGACGATCGGCAAAATCACCGTCAGAAAGTGGTGAAACGGCCGATAGAAGGCCCTGTACAACATTCATCCCGAGGCCAGATGGATAGCGAAGGCGTGATACCTGCAACAAGGGCGGTGCTTGACTTTTGGGAGGGGCAACTGATAAGAAAGTAACGGACGAGTTGAAGGATCCAAATTAACGACTGGTAAGAAGTTAACGAGCGAGTTGAAGAATTTCCAGGTGACTGAAGCGATGGCACTGTCAAGGATTACTACTACCAGATAAGTACACACGATAAAAGGCACATTATCACTACAGTACACCTCGCTACAGGACCAACAATGGCATTCCGGTAATGTTTGCACTCGTGGCACACGTATGGGTACACAAACATAACATTTCCCATGAATGGAATGCATGGCCAGGACCTGTTCACGACTAATACAAACGAAATACATGACTGTTCGATCGATACAGGCGGATATTGATTGTTTTTCGGTAGGAACTGTCCGAATTGATCGGGTCTGTATGTGAATGACGGTAGAATCGACGTTGACGGTCGTCAGCCTTCCCGTAGTGGAGGCGGGGGCGCGCGGTGGCATTTTCATGTTCTCTCGCTCTTTGCCAGCTCTGACTCGCCCTCATCATGCGATCAGTCGATCTCTCATCGAAAGAGAGACGATCGTTTCTCTGCTTCTCTGCGCCTCTCCGTTCTCTGAAGAGATCATCTGTAATGAGATTCACGTTGAGAGACGTGTACGGGAGTAACGTTTCGGGGGTTCGGGAGAGAGAAGGACCGGATAGACACGGCTGGCAATAACGGCTATGACGCGTGGCCAGGAATTGAAGCAGAAAGTACTGCTCATTCCAGGCGATGAAATAGTTGTCAAAAGGATGCAGACGGAAGTCTTCGAGTTGAGTCGACCTATTGGGAAACGCCTGTGCACTCTGATTCTTTCAGGCCATAACAACAAGTCAAGGCTAGCACTAACGTTCCAGACATGCTGTGGGACGAAAGTTCTGAAGCAATTCGGTCTTGTGGGGGCAGCCGAGTGTATATCAGTGAAGCTTTACTGGGCCACCTTGTAAAAGACCGTTAGTTACCTCCGAAAGTGAATCACCAAAACTTTCAGCAGCCTTCACAGAAGGCTCATCAAATCTCATCAAAGCGAAAGACTGCCTAATTAAGAATGAACCAGCCAGAGAAAGACAGCGAAAATACGTAACATGCCCCTTCCGGCCGAACAACGAAAAGGTCGGCTTTCCTGTCTCGTACAGCACTCCCCTCACCTTCGCTTCACAGATAAGCACCCTGTTCACCCCTCCTCCCACCCCATTATGGCAGAGCGCGCAGCGATCGACTTGGTCTTCTAATCGCACAAACGCGAAAAATCAAGAACAATCAGCAAAATTTGGCCCAATAAACTGTAGATGGACACTCAAAAAACTTCGCTCACTCATCCGGAAACTCGTTGCTTCAGCATTGGTGCCCACGATCAGCCCTGGACGGTCAGTCACTGCAACGTCACTGTGGAGTGGCTAGAACCATTCCTGGAGTCCTTCACCAATAAAGGCTTGCCAGCAACCGCCTGACACCCACTACTCGCTGCCAATAGCCTTACGAGGCAAGAAGTCCTTCCTCTCCACCGTGACCAATTCTGGTTTTGAACTCCAGTCCTTCATATCCTTTTCAAAACTGTTAGAGCTCCAAATTCATTGTTAGGCCAAATAAGACCCTTCTCCCTCTAACGACCAAAAAAACGGTCCTCTTCGTATGAGACCTTTCAGACGTTCTGACCGGACTTGCGATGTTGGGGTTCCATTTTCCTCAAAGTATCTATATTAGGGTTGCCAGAAACATTTTGCTCACATTTCTTCAACCTTTCTTTTTATAGAGAGGCGTAAAAGAGAAATCAGACAGCTTATTGCGAGGCCTTGCAGTTTTTGGACCACTTCGTAGATGCATCGCTTAATAATCAGTGCCGGCGCGACGCAAAGTTAGGACACCGATCTTCAGTTTTTGACTTGGGCCTCCGTGGAGATTTTCTCGGCCATATAATGTTAGAGCATTTTCTCGGCCATATAATGATTAAGTACTGGAGGCAACTAGCAGTCAGAAAGAGCAATGTCTGGACTACACCGGTGCAAGGGGAGTAGCCATCCAGCTCTATGGCATGAGATCTCGACATCGGACTTTTGGACGCACTGAGCTACCAGATCACGTTGAAGCGCGACTGCTGCGGACGGGAATTTACCCCTATCGTCGCATTCGCTTCACACATCGTGAATGCTTTCGCGCACGGATTGACGAGGAAGCAGCTTCTTCATCCAGCAGTTTCCCGACCCACAGCTCCCTCAAGCTGAGTTCACAGGTACACCCAAACCTCACTTCGTCATTCAAACTGTAGGCTCCCGCTCTGAAGCATTAGCGTCGTGGAAGATTGTCTGATAATTGTAGACATCGTCCTTATGCAGCTCCATTATTTCGGCATCGACAGCTGTCATGCTGGCGCCAGGGTGGTAGAAGAAAGAGTTTGAGGAAGCGCTTGAAGGGGTCGGTGCCAAAGGTAGCGGATAACATTCTTGTCCATATTGCAGAATAAGGAGAAGCAGGAGTCAAGCCAGTGATACTAATAGAAAGACCATTCCTTGATGTATAACTGCTCACATTACCGGTTAACCCTCTTCAGGTAATGGGCAAGTATTTTGGGTTCAAAAAAGTATGACAGAACTTCCCGCCAACCTAATATCTACTAGATGACCACGAAGAGCACAATGGGCACATCATGGTGCTGAGAGCTTCTCCAGCATCCTTAGGACGAACTCATCTGAGTTGCGGCACTTCCAGTTTTTCACATGAAGCTTCATGAAGCTCTTTGAATGCCCTATCGAATCATTTGAGCCCAATCTCGTACATCTGGTTGGAGAATCCTCAGCGTACTGCGTGCCCTAGAGGACCGCCCCGTTGACTGAGACGGGGTGCGATCCACGGATGTTCTGGAGACAGCTTTCCTCTTACCACTGCATTATTTTGTTATATAGAGCAGCACAAAGATCAGAGACAGCGCGATAGTATCGAACAATCCACGGGGGAAGGACAATAACGAAAAGAACTTTGGCACAGAACCGGTTTACTGTTCAGTCGTTAGCTTTGGTCTACTTGCACTTTCCATTAGACACAGCTCTGCTACTTCGTATAGAATCAAGGGGAGCACAACTTGCACTCAGTTGTACCAGCAGTCAAACTCTAGGGTGGAGGTGGTGCATGCGGTGGCACGTACCCAATCTGGGTGTTTTTAAGGAGGGGGGGGAGGTCCAGTCCTGAATCGTCTTTTCTGCCCATACCCCGTAATAACCTCAAAGCTTTTGATCCTTCCCATGTTGGTTGTTCAGCACTCTACGAGGATTGCAGAGACTCTACAGAATCAACCTGCTTGTAGCTGAAGTGGTCACCGCAAGTCATTGCCTAGGCTTGAGAGTATTTCGAACCACTAGGATTCCCACTGGAAAGGGAACACGTGGCGCGATCCGAGAAAGGGTTGATCAGCGCCTAAAGCTTCATCCCAGGCAACTTTCAACATCGATGTAGTAGATGTCATATCTGGACTAAAGTTTCCCCAATTTTCTTGCATAAAATACAGGTAAGGTACCGTCAGCAAGGGGTATTTTGATCCAATGTCCGAGGGTCCAACCTGGACCTACGGAAGTGCGCCTGCTCTGCTCAACTACATGGGTTCACGTCGTGCATGATGCAATCGCCGTGACAACTTGAAGAAACTTCTACGATGTAGCAGAGTTCGTCAGGCCGAATGGCCATGTACTTTGTAGCGATGACGGCCGATAACCCTCTGACTCATCGACTATGTCGGACAGGAGAAGTGGATGTTATTCGAAAATTCACGGTCCAACTGTAGTGATGAAATTTACAATGGGGATCAAGTTATCACAGATTCTCAAGAAGCGGGTGTGAAATTCCTAAGGTTATACTTCTGGAGTAGAATTGGTGAGGGGAAGTCGAGGTGGGAGAAAGCGGCCAACAAGCGCGAATCAGTGGGAAATGCACGTGCAAGGAACTGATGCTCTGTCCAGCAGAACATCTGCTATGCCTGTGAGTCTTCTTCCGACCCAATAGTATCCATAGCGCCTAATAAGCTGAAGGGGCACTGAAGGATTCCTCGTGCGAAGGCATAATAGGATAACCTGAAATCATGAGAGCTTCTGTCTAAATTAATGAGATTTTAGTAAAATTTTTGAGTAAAACTTTACATAGTATTTTGATTGTTAGATTTCTTACTACACTTTTCTTATCTAAGTTTAGAGGGGGTGACTCAAAGAAGTAGCTTAGTTTCCGTTTCGCACGTGCCCTTAGACGGAAACCAAGCAGTTTGTAATATCCTCCTTCTGTGCTCATCAGTAAGGGAAAAGGAGGAATAAGGTGTTTATTGTGATAATTTACTATTATATGAATTTAGTAAAGGTTAGTAAATGTTTTTTTGAGTTAATTTAGTTGCTTCTTTTTGTACGAAGCTTTACTTGTTCAATTTCATGTAACAAATTTCATGTTACATATGTAGCTCCTTTTCTAACACTGATTGGGAAAGAGCTCTGGATCAGGTAGTTTAATTCAACATTCGGTAATTCATTCGGACGGCAGTAATCCGAGTATTCTCACGAGGGCTCAACGCAACCGCTCCAAGGTTTGTCGGGCTTCATTTGTCGTGGCAATCCCTGTTACATTTCATTGTGCTTTAGCCACCACATCGTCGTTGTTTCGATAGGCAGCGTCTTGGCAGTAATTGGGCGCCCTTGCAGGCAGACAGCTCGGAGAAGCTACCCCAGCGCAGTTCGGCTCGGTGAGGGCAAATGGTACTTCGCGCAGCCCGTATAGGCCACCTTGTGAAGAGCTGTAATTTCTTGTAAACAAAGTGGCTCGCTCGTACCATATCGTACCTCACAGGACTTTACAAGTATCACCAAATAAAGACGCCTATTTATTTAAATGAAAGTTATCAAGGGGAGCTAGCACGTAAATAAGCGTAATCACAATTCCCCCCAAGCCGAGCACCCGCTCTACTATTTATCACTACCTTACAGCATGAGTGGAGAGAGCGTTCAGCTCCAATGAAATCCTTTTGATGTGCCACGCATGTTTCTCCCATCACAGCACCAATGTGGCATTCTAATGTGCATTTGCTCACATAACGTGCCTTTGGTAGATTTCGTGGACTAATGGGCCATGCCAACATCGAGTGCTATAAGGAAGGGTACAGCAATCGTTGTGGGACACATATGGGGGGTGGTACTTTCAGGCTTGAGAGGGGAAGGTAGTGTTCGGTTGGGGCGGAGGTCGTATGTATCTGAGAAGAAATTCGACGGAAAAAGGATTTCCGAGATTTTTCCCCGATTTGTGAACCTTTCCGCCGTGATTTTTACTGTTTCATGGTATTGCAGGCCCCTCCCCCAGCTCGACGGAGAAATCTCTGAGGACAAAAATCGTGAAAATGTGGGAAATTGGCAGGTAAGTGTGTGGGAAGGGGGGGGGGAGGGAGTTGCTAGCGCGACTATCCCTAGGTAGGGGGGGTGGCTACAAGACCTTTCCTGAGAGGCGGTCCGTACTGGCCACCACCACTTTCCACACATCACGATGCGTACCCTGTGTACAGGACCACGTGCTTGTAGAGCAATTTAACTCTCGCAATCGATTCTGGCGCCCAACCGGTCGCGACGAGTTGGAAGCCCAGGTTAGTATGAAGATGAGTTGATCCGAGATTTATTGCCACCAAGAGTAAGTAGTAAGTGACGTCATCTGCAGCTATACCACCCCCTGGGTCTTTAAGAGCAGCTTAGTCTTGCAAAAAAGCGACCAAACAGGCGCTTTTCAGCGAAGTGCGTCAGTCATTACACTGCACATTCGTGTGGGCCAAGGAATCCAGTTAACAAACATGGAAGCTTGCTCGGCATTCTATTTCGGTCAATTTGCTTTGTTTGCTACAGCTTTTCCTCACACTGGAATTGGTCCTGACGTTCGAAATGGCACTTCGCGTTGCCAGCAAGCAATTCGACACTCCTGACCAGTATCCATTGTGATAGTTTTTGACGATCTGGAATTTGACCTTTCACAGTGGGTGATCTTTCTTATCATTGCTTTTATTCAGTCGTGGGAAGTTTTTTGCTGGTGCTGAATGATATCCAGGAAGTTTCATACGTGATAGATGTTCACCACCTGATAACGCGATGATGTCAACCAGCGATGATCCCACACAGATGCTTCATCTCCCCCAAGATGAGCTCTCGTCGTCATATGACACATCGGTCGCCGATGTTCCTGTTATCGGTATATCACGGAATGAAAACAATGAGCTTCGAAAAGCATAAACAGCAGCTGCAAAGAATCGTTCAGGCCACAGGTTATGATGCTAACATCGAACGATCACGATGGAAAGGGGACCGGAATCTGATTTTGAACCCCTCCCAAGGGGATCCCTCTGTCAGAAATGGCTCAAGGTGAATAGATTCAGCAGGATGCACCATATATTCGACTCACATCTACAAGGGTATATGACAAGAAAATTGTAATTCCTCGGTTCGGGCGGAGTTCAATAGGGTGGTCTACGGTGGCGGAGAAATCGACTATCTCGCTGATCTCAGGCACCACATCGCGGTCGCTGCCAGAATCTCTCGATGCTTTCGTCCAGAAGGCTGTGGCGGAGTGTCATGATAGTATTTAATATGCTCTTTAATATGGTGGTAAAAATGTCCGATCAGAATTTAATAAAGTGTAACTTATAGCGCCTCGAAGTCAATGAAGAAAGTGACTTTTTTTGGCCCTCCCCTCCCTGTATGTGATGTGGTGAATGTACCGCAAATGACGATAGTTCCAGGTAGTAGATGGCGACAACAGCCAATTCTAGCCAGAAATAGTCATCATTGTCTACGATGTAGGGTTATGCATTGAAGTCCGCGGTGCCCCAATCGTCTGGTTAACACGAGTTGAGAAAACGCCGCGCCCCATCGCCGCGCGCGGCAGAGCGGCATATTGCGATTCTCTTGCCCGTCTCCCCCATTTCAACTAGTCACGAGTTGAAGGGCAGTGCGAACCGCATTACAGATTAAGTCCGGGTTTTCACTGAGACAGTTTGATTTCGAAGGCTTCTTGTTCTTATCCAGGGGTGCAAATGATGTGGTTTAATCTGATTTTATATGTTATCTTTATAGCTACTATGTTTTACAAATGTTTCTAAACATATAAAATTTGAAAAGGGTGCTGATTCTTTAACAGCTTGTTAGTTTCATGCTCCGCCTGTGCTTAGCATATTGAGTTAATACTCCCCCACCTCTCTGTGTGCTCAAATTCTACAGCTTCTGTAGGCTGGCTTTGCATGGCATGAGCAAAATCGCTACTAAGCAGGCACCCTCCACCGCTAACCTTTTCAAGTCCAGTTACTGTTCGACTTCACGACTTCCCATTTTTTTCCCTTTATACCACCTTGTCAAAAGAAATTCAGCGAGGAATCTGTACGCACGTATTGAGTAGGATGTCCGGAAACTCTTCGAAACATCTTTCTTTTCACTCAGAGCAGGTGTAGCGAGCGAAACGCGCTAAAAGAAAAGGCAGTTCTGATAGGATAGGTAGAAGTTGAGGACTGTGTTCAATTTTGCGGCGGCAGTTCCGCCAAGCGCGACTAGCAACGTTCAGCAGGCTATCAGCAGACGTCAGGGCTTGGGGATAGATAGGTTGTGGATCCAGGTGCTGCCAGCGCTCTACAAGCGTCCACAAGCGAGCAGGCAGCAGAACTGCCTGGTAGGGAGTATGTGGGTGGCAGGAGGGAAAACAGCTGTCTCTACCCTTCTCTCTCCCCATACGTTACCAAGTCTCTATACCGCTCCCATCGCCCCACACGCTCCACCGTACGCGCTGTTCGCTGATTAGATGCTGGCAGACGCAGATTAGTATCTTACTATCCTAATCGGTATTGCTACTGGACGTTTTGGAACGGTGTGGACTCTCTGGCAGCTTGTGACGATTTGGCCAATGTTATAAACGCCGTTAGTAGACAGAGAGATCAAGAACAACATATCGTCCTTCTCATTACTGTGGACAATGGCGATGAAATTTTTTTACTACAGTGCTATCAACACAAATGTCACGGTTTGTTACTTCAGCGTCATGCTATGACTGTAGTGTGTTCACTTCAAACGCTGGTTGAAGACAGCCCCGCCGTTCAGTAAGTACGTGGTCATCTTCCTCTGTGCAAGTAGTACAGCCCCTAAGCTTAGAAAACTATCACACTCCTCTTCGCGACTCCACAACGGAGCCGATGAAGCAAGCTACCTGCCCCTCAAAGTTCTCGTTTCAAACGCCTCTGAGTTGAACAGCCTCACTTGCTAGATGCCCCTCCGCTCATTGTCCTTTTGTTAGGGGCGGTGGCATGTAAGTCGGCATATCATGTCTTTTTCGCTGACCACGTTCTTGCTCATAAGTAACTTCTGCTTTCCTTTATTACATTTTATTCATTAGCAGCACATACAGTCAACTTCATCTCATCTCGCAGACGTGAGCGGGTTGAAGCGCTGTAAAAAATCACGAGCGACGACCAAAATTCTCGTTGGTGCTAAAGGCTCGACGCTACTAAACACACCAAAAGATGCACGCTACCGTAACCCTTAATTCGGACGCCGAGTTTTTAGAAAGTTTATTTTCCTTTTCAAGAGTTTTTCTTCCGTGTTTTGTTGTTTTCCGTATTCTTTTTTGCATTGGATGATATCCATTACTGGGAGATGCAAAAAGGGATTTGTGAGCCAGGGGTTGCACAATGACCGCAGGGCTGTGTGACTGACAGGGAGCGATCTTGTTTATGGTGTTCTTGAGAACTCTTCTTGCTTTTTCTCTTCTTTGGAGAATTACTTATCAGCTACTGTTTCGTAATTGAAAAGCAACTATCCATGACACTTTTATCGCGGGAGCTGTCTTCAAATCACCGTCGTCGATGGTACTCGTAGTACCCTCCCTGTACCTGCAATAAGTGTCCGATCCCTGTTTGATGTGGGAGTTTAGCTTCAGAAATATCTCATTGCTTCCTTCTCCACTTTCTAGTATTGACTCTCCATGGCTGCCGTGGGAAGCAGGGCAGTCCAAGGTTGAGGAAAATGGATAGGATGACATCCACCACGATTGGATGCCCTTCTTTATGAAGCATTAAATGGGCCTATCGGAAATGCTCAAATCTATAATATCCAGGACAGCAAGAGTCGTCCACTTCCAAGCGAACAATGTGGACTCCTTCCATTGGGGGTCTTACAACCCCATACCACGCAAATTTGATGCAACCCACTCAACGAGAGCTCCTCAAGGATGATGTACCCTGATTGCAAGTTCATACACCATCCTTGAGGGAGCGAACAGTTCGCTTAGCTGGGTTTGGATCCGATTCCGCCACAAGCATAAGTGGTGAAGATGTGGTTCAGGGCACCCGAGACAGAACGTCATGCTCAGAATCGGTACCCCTACTTAGTTGACCTAACTCATCGCCCAATCAAATGTTTCACAACAACTATTTTTGAGATAGCGTAGTAAAGTAACAGGTACGGAGTGTACGCTACCACCACACAACTAATCTAATACCAAAGTGCTGGTTTGAGCCAGCTAGGTAGTTTGGAGTATTAGCTGGTTTGTGCCTTGGACGTGAAGTGAATGAAGTGCCTTGGACAACGTGAGCTGTACCCATGAGGCGAGTAGCGTCCTCGCAGGGAATGTCATCCTTTTTAGAGAAAAGGAAAGCTAACAATGGGCCATCGCAACCCATCCTGTTGCTCCGCATCATCTAGTTCAATTTCCGGGACTCAGGGGACTATTTTACAGAAATCATCAGCTCATTCAGCTCGTTTAGACTTCTGCATCATTGCTGAACCCGACTGCCTTCGCCGATACTCCTTCGACCCACTTTCTAAAAGCTTACTCTTGAAGGCACATCCCATATAAGGGCAGCTCCTCCACTGAATAAGGTACCTCATTCACTCATGGAATAATCATCGTTAAACGAATTAGATTCTAGTCCCAGCCTAAGCACAAAGGCTTCCGCTCTAGTCATCTAGGCGGAACCAGTGAACCTTGCGTCTCCTCCATTGGTGCGTCTCTCTCTCTTTCATTGAAGTTTAAAGAGGGGGGTCAACGAAGAAAGCGCAGTGTAAGATACAATTCTTCTTCCTGTTATGACCAAACGAGCGAGGAATGAATCTCTTATAAATTGTGCAAGATGGACCACAACTCTCTGAAGGCAGCAATCTATAACATTTAGGGTTCCAGTTTTTGGAGAGAAGAAGGCCTTAAAAGCATTTTGGCATTTTAAGGCATCTAGGCTTCCATCAGTATTGCCTAAAGAAAAACACACCTGCAAGAATCGCTCTCGCGCAAAGTATCGTATTAGCCACAAATTTGTTCCGACGGCTTCCAACCACCGACAAGCTGTTCCAAAAAGGGGACAAAAACGAAATAAAAAAACCAGCAGATTTGTGCCGTTCTTCGCTATGTACTTGTCTATCCTATTATAAGGAAACTTACATTGAGAGACTAGATTGTGTTCCACAAGATAAAGAACGAACTTATTCCGAAGTACTAAGTAGCACGGATAAATCACTCAAAACGTCCAGGATTAGGGTACTCCCTACGCGCGCAATTTAATTTCCCCAGAACAAAATGCTGCGTGGCGCCTTTTCCAAGCGGTTACCCGTCAGTGGGAAGGGTCCATCTCAATACACAAGAGGAACTTCTCCGATCCGCAAGGAAAGTATTTTCCATTGAAAACTTTCCCGTTTCAAGCGCAATATATGTTCCGCTCAGCCAGTGGCACTACACTCACCAAAAGTAAAGACAACGCGACGCACAAAATAAAAATATATCTTGATTGCCTGGGAGAGGGTCCACCCCCCCCCTCCGAGCGCTCGACACGCTATTTTTCAAAAAAAACCTGTAGGGATTGAAACGCGCTATTATTTGGAAAAATTTGGCATGAAGGCCAGTTAGGATGGAGAAGGTGAGGGAGTTCGAGCTGGGTTGTTGTCGCGCTGACACCATGGCATGTACTTCATTGTATCGAAGACATTCAGGCTTATGGATATCACTAAGAATCCAAAGGGAAGTCAAATGTGTGAGGCACTTCGAGTGATGACGATTCATTCGAATGCAAGCTGCCTTTCAGTACCAATATGTCCGACAACCACCTGAAGGTGTTGCCGTACATCCACCCTACTTGTAGACCCCACAATTTCAGGTCAGCTTATGACCTTTGATTTGTACCCGTCAGGCACCTTATGCATAGGTAATTACGCTAGCTTTTCCTTCCAGCTGTCTCAATGACAATTACGCCATTACACTTGGTCGGTAGCTCGTGTCATTTGAGCATCACACCGGAGACATTCCTTTAGGGTCTGCGCCTTCTTACGTATTATTGTCTTGGTTGGACATATCGGTTATTATCATACTTAATTCATTCCAGAAAAATGTATTGATGCCATGAAGAAGCTTCAACGTATCATCGGCGAAGACTTTGTGGATTTCGCCGAACACACTAGGTCAGTAATCATGGCAAAGTGTATGCACTTTTATCTCCTAATTCACTGTTTCAGAAATTCAATTTCATCTCATTTCTTATCAAACAAGAAAATAGAGGGTGTCATTTTTAGTAACTGCTGTTTAACGCGCGCAGTTGATCCGAGTCTGAAACGGTTATCACAGAATGCTGAGTTGTGGGCAAAAGTCGGACCACGGACGGGATTTGAACCCGCATCTTCTGCTTACCGGGCAGTTGCGTTCCCTATTACGCTACCGGAGGCCACTTTATAACCTCACTGCCCTCAATGGCTATTTGTGTCATCTGCTTCGAGCACTCCCACACATTTGACGAGAGTGACGCCGGGTTAGCGGATATCGGCCAGTGAACGCCACGGCTGAAAGCTTTTTTTACGGGAGTTTTAAGTTGTTGAGCTGAGACGGGTCAAAAGTGCGCCGCTCCGGGTAAGGGGGCGTAATAGCGGAGCCGCAACTGCCGGTAAGTGGGATCGCGCCACATGTTACCTGTGAGGGCCAGTCGGATTGCCCGGCTTCGCAGGGCGATCCCCCTTCCGCGTGTGAAGTGGGTTATGGCGCCACGATTCACCTGTGAGGGCCAGTCGGATCGCCCGCCTTCGTCGCTTGTCAAAAAAAATTTTCAAAAATTATCAAACTTCACCTTTTCGTCCTGTCCGTCTCCGCGGTGCCAACCATTTGCCACAACTCAGCAGTTCTTGCTGATAAAAAATTGTAAGGGTTAAGGTCGCGGAACAGTCGCGAGGGCGACCGCATTATCTTGAGGGCGCGGTGTATCTCGAGGCTTCCATTACTTGTAGGAAAATAATGGAAGCTCGGGAGATACACCGCCTCAAGCCAGAGATCAATGCAAAAGAGGAGCTACGTGACCTTCTGAGACTCATCGCATAATCACCGCCACCCATTTGTCTCATTGTCATAGTGCGGGTCACTTATTGCCCTGACACCCCGCCGATAGGTCCGTCCCTCTCAAGGCCTGGTATGTGAGGTTTTACGCATTGCTCGTTGTAGCTATTATATGTTCGAAATTGTAATTTAAGGCCTGACGAAGGCATTATATGCCGAAAGCTTGCCAATAAAGTGGTTAAACAAGTCAAGAGCTTCAAGCACACTGTTCAAGAACATAAACTTTGTGTTTAGTTGGGATGGCGTCGATCCAGGAAATGAGCCGCTGCCAGTTTCCAAGGCATTACCACTTCTCGTGACGACAATTCTGATTTTCAGTGCTCACGTGAGTTCCGCCCCGCCTGCACTCACGCCACCCTCCGCAGCACGGTATTCCGCGTGCATACGTATCCGAGGGACTCCGACGTGTCTTATGGTTATTACTATTTCTAGCCTGTTTGTGCGCCTTCGGCTATCAAGCGTATCTGATTGTTATGAGGTTCTTCAGGTGAGTATTTCTTTATTGAAGGCATAACGCACGATAATTTGGTACTTGGTCTTGGTCTAAAATGATAGCAGGGGGTCAAAGTCTCTTGTTCTCGCTTTCCCACCTAAGCAGGATTCTCCCCCCCCCCCCCCTCGCGCATTGTGTCAGGGGGAGGCAAAGTTGGCATGGAGTCAGAGTGTTTTCCGCCGATTGCATGGCCGCTTGCCAGCTTCTACAATTGGTGGAGGACGGGCTCGCGCTGCGCCATATCCAACCAGCCCACCCCCTTCTCCCTCCTGGCATATCCTAGCATCATCAGAGCACTGTACCAGTTTGCTCAACACCATAAACGCGATAGAGATAGCGCGTGAAATGAATGCCAACCGACTAGCCCTCACGGGAGTGGGCGGAGGGGGGAGGGACGATCCACAAGTAGAAGATGCTGGGGAAGAAACTGTGATTTGATGAATCCATGCTTGACAAATTTACATTCTGCCAGCATTTCAGGAATGATATCATTGTCGGCGTTGAAATACGATTCGAAGAAATGCGTTTTCCAGCTGTTACTATCTGCAATATTAATCCGTACAAAAATTCTCTAGCTCGTGAATCGCCTCCAATTAGAAGCGCCGTGAGTTCATCCTTTGGTCGTTCGTAGGGCTCCGCTCATAGTTTACGACACCGGCGATCGAGCTACAAAAGCGATTTGACGATTTCGCGATTTGCTGTGGAGCGCGCTTGTCATCGCCTCAGGTCAAAATCAGTTCCTCCTGTCAATCTCAGTGAAGTGTTGAGTCGTATGAAGCGGGCAGGAAGTCGTGGCATCGGCTGGTGAGAAAGGTGCAAAAGTATGTGGAGAACCAAGAGATGGGCTTTTTCGAAGGAAAGGAACTCCAGAGTGGGTTAGGGAGAGGAAGGGGGGGGGGGAGGAGATGCTGCTTTTCACGCGGAGCCACTCACTTCTTCACCACTTGTTTTAGGGGTAAACAGCAACTATTGGAGAACGTGGTGGCAGTGCGCTACCTAGCTTCTCTGACACAGTGAACACTCGTGAACAGACTGTGTCTGCTCCGAGCAGCTGAGATGTGCAAGTTCGCAGTGGCCATACAACTCCAGAGACGAGAGACTGCAGAGAAAAACAGAAAATTGTCGCACCTTTCTGCTTTTCTCTGCACTCTCTTGTCTACGCGATTGTGGGATAGGGATCGAGTTCTAGTAGCGCGCGGCTGGATTGAAGCGCCACGTTAGAGATGCACTATTCTATTCGGCAAAAGATGTCGCGACGTATGAACGTCAGTCAGCTCTCAGCATTGTTGACTCGTGCTCCACCGCCGTCAGAGTATTTTTAAGGCTGGATTATCTTCGAGAATTTAGCCATCGGTGCGGGTCAAAACGAGCAAAGTCAACAGCACGACGAGCGTAAAAAACGGTAACTTCACTCCATTTACTGATAGCTTTTTTCATACAAGGCTTACTTTGTCCAGATCAGTCAATGTGCCTTCACTTTCGTCTGCTCACGTGTACTGTCGACGAGACAATGACCATTATACGGCGGATCCAGAAGGCGATGAACGATGTGTACTGTAACCTACTCCTATTCCTATCCTATCATGTGCCTAAGGACTGGAGCTAGTAAATGTCCAATCTTTAGTAGGATTCGCTGAATTGAGTACTCTCTGGAAGGCCTTAAAGACATACAGTCCACCCAGATCTTCGTGGGCGGGTCATGGCGCTCTACATTGCTCATTGCTGCTCTCTTCTTGTTAATGATTGTTAATGAGGATTGGAGTATCAAGCAAGTAGAGAGGCAATGATAAGTCTGACTCCGCCCGCGCGATCAGCACAAACCATGCCTTATAGGCGGCACTGTTAAATAGAACTAGTAAGCTTGCTAGCAGGCGAACCATCTCGGCTGGTTTCAACTTACTGACACCAAGCATCTTGAATTTAAATCTGATGTTTCAGCTGTGCTCCTCGTTTCTTACTAAGCAGTTCTACTGGAACTGCGCTCCCGGAATCTCGAGTTTTCTTTGATACAGAGGCGGTGCCTAGATACTGGCGTGCACATCTCCAAAACTGTGCTATTGTCATAATCATGAGTTTACTTGTAGTCGAGTGGAAAATTCAGTAAGGTATCGGGGTAACATAATAGATGGTAAATGTCATCTGTTTGGTAGATTAGTGTGCTCAGATTGCTGGTCGATGGCCGTTAACGTTATCCATGAGTGAGTGTGCAAACTCGTCCACATGCTTATGCGTCGTACCTCGGTCAATTGACGGCGCCATGACGTCATCGTCTTATTGTGCAGGAATTTCAAAATGGGAATACACAATATGCAATGGATGTGATTGGTGGGGAAGGTGAAGGCATTTTTTTGAATATTGTGGACAGTCTCTTTTGGTACTGTTGTTTGAATGGGTAAGCGGGGAGGGAACCTGGCAGGTTGTGAGGCGTTTTACTTCATAGTGCGGATCGCGCGCACTGGTATCTTGAGAGTCAACAGAGGAAGAAAGGGGCACTAGTGAGTTCCGGAGGGGGGGAAATGGGGGAGAGGCGGTGAGCTGGCAAGGGCAAAACCGCCTACGCACTATTAAATACGTTTGGGTTCAATGAGAGAAAAAGAGGGCGCAGCCGTGCAGAGACATGCCCGAGAGGAACTAGGAAGTGGTTCGTAACCCCGTCGTGCTGAGGATTGGATTTGGAGCAATACTTCCGCGTGAAAGCGGAAGTAAGCAGGTGAAGTTTGCTGCATTCGCCACCAGGATTCATCTTTTGCCAACGTAAGTACTGTGGCAGCGCGTCTACTCGTCCCTGTGTCCCGCATCTCCCAAGCTCGATCTATCTTCTCTGCTGGGCTCTTGCGCGCTGTTTTAGCTTACTAACTGGAGTGACGTGTTACGTGACAAGTAAAAACCTTTTTCGTTGGGGGGTCCTGTCTGCGAACATAAGGTCAAAGCGCAGGGAAATAAAGAACTGCAGCCGCCAAGGCATCAAGAAGTACAAAAAACATGTTGCCGAGCCAGGAGATAATTTCTTCTAAAGAAAGATGACGCTGGGATGGATGAGCCACTTATTATGCGTAAAAAGTTGAAATGGGAAAAGTCAGAACCGGGTCCAGGAAATCAAAACAGACCTCGGGAGATGACCGCAGGGAAAATAGAAAGTTGGTGCCATTAAAGGGACTGAGTTTTAGTTGCAGCAGACCATTTTGAAATAAAAATGTGTTGAGATGCACTCGATCATTTGGCCTCGCAGGAGAAGGGGAATGTGTATGTCGATGGTCGATTCCTATACAAGAGTGCTTCGTCCCGTGGAATCAGAACGTGAAGGGACATTGGAAGAGGGACAGCTGATGGCTCGGAGAAAAACCACTCCGTGGAGTCCTGATGGGAAAATGTTATGTGAAACGCACGTATTGGCAAGGATAAATAGGTAGCAGTGCAGGTTTGCTGCCGTGGTCTTTTTCACAACAGTGGAGCGCGTCAGCCTTTTTTCAGACACTCATAGAATATGAAAATGACTACAAAACTAGTTTCATGATTTTCCCGCTTCGATATAGCCTTACTGCTGAACTACTGAAGTGCAGGCGGTCTGATTTCCTTTTTATCGGGAGGCGGGGGGGGGTAAAGGGAGGGCGCAAGACAAAATCGTGGTTTGTTCGCCCTCAAAGCGCGCGATTATCGAAAGATTATCTATCACTCAGGCATTCATAGGATGTTATAATATAAAATATCCACCAATCACGGCCGTGCAATTGCGTACGGACTGCTGCTACCGTAACCACGTCTAATGTGCATTCACAGCTGCGGCTGCTGCGCCAACTGCAATTAATTTAACTTGCTCTTCTCTGGCATAGATAACATCAGCTCATACGACAAGGGTCGCGATCGACCTAGGCTCATCTCTTTTAGGAGGAGGAACTACGCATTGCGAGCCCCCAGGACCAGGCACTACAGCAAAAAATCTAACCCTTGGTATTGTACTACACAAGCAAAAATCACCCGTTCGGTGTGACTCGCAACAGAGAGAAGTGTTTATGCGGCCTCGGTCCAGAGCGAGAGGTTCTCGATAGAAGCGAATTTTTGTTTTTTCATGGACATGAGTTAGTTCCAACATAACTTAGACCGCAAAACTAGACGAACTTGAGAAATGGAAATTTTCCTCCTTCTATTGAGGACATTATATATTTTAAGCCTAGTATATCAAAGAACACTCGGCGCGGTTTTTGATCCGAGAGTTTACTAAAGCTGCAACAAGAAGGTCTCTCAATTACACAAGCCACACTTCCATCCAGAACCCCAGAAGGCTTTCTTCTCTTTCGCTTGAGAAGAATGAAACTTGAAGCACAGGAGCGCTGATCGACCTTCCTATGTAAGGCAGCGTTCAGACTTGTAGCGCTACAACTGTAGCGCTACGATCGTCGCGCTACAGCCGTCGCGCTACAGCTGTATCCAGCTTCCTTTTATATTTTTTCTTTCTGAATTTAACCATCTTCTCTTTGTTTGCCATATTTATCTGATGCTGAGCTCCTGTTTTTTTACTTTACCACATTTTTTATCACATTTTTATATAGTTTTTGATACAGAGCACTATGATAATTGGTTTTATTTTCGTTTCCGACTCTATTTGGTTTTAGGGTTGCTACTGATGTTTGATTTCTTTGCTCGATGTCTTGCATTGGTGCCTCGTGTTGATCCCGATTGCGAAATTGTTTTCATTCCATTATTAAAATGTGGTAAAAAATGCGGTAAAGTAGAAAAGAGCTCAGCATCAGATAAATATGGCAAAAGAGGGTTGAATTCAGAAAGAAAAAAATATAAAAGGAAGCTGGATACAGCTGTAGCGCGACGGCTGTAGCGCGACGATCGTAGCGCTACAGTTGTAGCGCTACAAGTTTGAACGCTGCCTAACGCGCCACTTGTTCGTCTTGCAAGATCACAGTGACATAGAAATATGGACCTATAGAATACGAGCTTTATATAGAAAGAACAACCTTGTCGTACAGCTGATGGTTCCGTTATCATATTTAGACAAGCATCACTTTCTATAGTAGCTATGTAGTTTCATTTACACTACATCAATTTATCATGAAATTGCACGACGGAGTTACGGCACTCCACGGCGAGGCACAAAAGCGATGCAGTGCTTCACTAGTTCTGCCACAGCTTTGCTCATTAGTACCGACCCCATCCCCTTGCGATTTCCTCGAAGCACTTGACCATGGCTCCCCCCCCTCCCCGCCTCCCCTTCACTCACGCTTGCACTGTAACAGGAAAGAGGACAGTGCAAACGCATTATTGCAACACGCTAGGCATCTTGACCACGAGATAATCTCCTTTAAGCACGTTATAACAATCATGAGTCTCGGTTTGACTTGAGGAGTGTATCCTCTACTAGCAAAGGGTCTGAAGTACAAGTGCCAATGATTGAACCAATTAAAGATAAACTTTATGATACAAAATCGAACCTTCACTATCCCTTTTGGCACAATCACAGCCATTTTCTTTGCCTTTACTTCATTATAGTTGGCGCAGTAGCCACGTGTGAATATGCATGAGACGTGGACTACGGTAGAAGCAGTGAGTACGCAATCGCACGGCGTGATTGGTGGTATTTATATATAACATCCAATCAAACACATATTCGGGATGAAAAAAAAGGGAGGAGGGGGGGCAGTTCCGCGCGTCCTTTCAATAATTTCCTAACCTTATGTGACCTTTTTCATGTAAACACCTTGGTTACCCCTCTAAATTCTTGTCACCTGTAAACGAAACTCGTGCTGTTGCACAGCTTTACAAAGGTTCACAGGTCTCCACATAGGTATGGGTAGTGACGATGGGAACCAACACCAAAAAAGTGCCCACACCAAGCCGGACTGCGCCCAACATTGAAATGCTCTATCTCTTTTTCAGATTTAGAATAACCAAAAGAGATAATGTTCCAAATAAATGAAGTGTTTGATAACTCACCTCTTATAAACGATCTTGAGGTCCTTATATTCCAGAAAAGCACACATTTTGGGTTTTCTCGCGAGGATTTGAGTAATCAGTTCACGACAGATCTTCTTCTTCATCTAAAACAGAAAAACGAATTAAAAGGGCCACCTAAAGTGAAAGATTACGTCGGATACATTTAGAAAAATTGATCAACGTTGGAAAGTATCATTGAAAGCGAGTGTTTGAAAGGGTTCTTTATTAGGATAAACGTTTGCTTAGGAAGTGGGGGGGGGTCTTGTTTGATATTTTTGATATCAGCAATTCATAGTAAATTAGGTTAAGACTTCCCCTTCCTCTTCTGGGGCTTGGAAACCAAAGCTCAAACCATTGGCCCTTTGGTACCTTTTTCAGTAGGTAAAACAACACTTTCGTCATGAAGATGTAGGAGGCTTAGTAACGTTCAACAAAGAATTTGCCAATATTCGTACCTTATCCTGATAAGCGGTGTACCATTTCTGGAGACGGAGCTTCCCCTGGCGACTAAACAACAGCATGAATTGCATCATTTTGTCGCTGAAATGAAAATTAGTTCAATTCCAATAGTGCTTACACATGAGGAAAAAAGCAGAATGGATATTCCGGGGAATCTCTCCATGAAATCCTAGGAAACGCTCCGTTCCGTTCAACAGAAAAGCTCAGAGACGACTCCATGCAATTTAGACATGACAGTTAATTGTAAATTATAAAG